CACATGGGAGCCCATAGAGCGACGCTTATCCCTCTGCACATGCACATAGGCAGTGCACCCCCAGACTCGGAGGTGGGAGACATCAGGCTTACACCCATGCCACAGCTGGTAGGGTGTGCCCTCTGGGACAGCCTCAGTGGGCAAGCGGTTCCACACATGCACTAGAGCAGCAAGACACTCCCCCCAGAATGACTTGGGCAGGCCAGACTCGGCCAGGAGAGCAGTGATGCGCTCAGAGAGCACCCCATTGGCACGTTCAGCAACCCCATTCTGCTGATGGCGATTGCGAACAGTATGCCTGCGCATTATGCCACACTCCTCTGTGAAGGCGAGGAACTCGTTGGACATGTACTCGCCTCCCTTGTCATTGTCAGAGTGCGCCCAGCACCTTTGCATCGCTCCTATGCCCTTGGCACAGCAGCCCAGTGGGCTTGGTACGCTTCACAGCATTCCAGTGCACTTGGGTAAAAAGAGGTAATACTTGCCTATTGTGAGTTGAACCTACAGCCTTGTGGTAGTGCGTGCCCAGAGCGCTGCAACCACTCAGCTATTGTGTGTTGAGGTATACTTGTACTTGTGTCTTGTTTTTATACCTTCACCACCTTCTTATTCCAGTATCTCGCGACTTTGCCCCTATTTCGCTTTTCTCTCCTCTTTGGCTTGCTATGGAGAACTCCGAGCTACTGTACAGTTCCCAAACCTTATTTCTTTTCACCTATATAACCCTGGTGTCCACAGAGCATCTCCTTACTTGCTCACTGTTGGACACCAGTTCAGTACCCTTGTATTTCGTCTTTATCAATACCACTTGCTCACTGTTGGACACCAGTGCCTCTTCTGAGCATGATAGGTTGTGTTTCCTGGAATAGGGCTGCCTGCTCTTGTTCCTCACTGACAACAGCTAAGAGGGGCAGTGCATAAGACAATACAGAGGTAGCACAAGAAAACTGGAAAGATCAATGGGCAATGGAGCCCATTCCACTGGGCAGCACCACTCTAGTGCAGCTTCTCAGCAGCCACCAGTGCATATGTCAGCAGGTCCTCCACCCCACATCCTGTTTGACCAGTCTGGTGACCCACCGAGCACACACACAATCATTTTGGCAGATTGCCTGCATATCCCCAGTCATGTCAAGTATGTTTATTCTCTACAACTTATGCTCATCATCATTCCACTTGTAACATAAACAAGCAGATGATATATCTACTTAAACAAGATCTGTAGAGAGTGTGAATGATGTAAGAACCCCACACATGAAGTCAATAGTGATGGACCAGGAAGTAGCCACAATTGGTGACCTGGGTAGTACACATAACCTAGGTAGAATATCAATAAACAGTATTGTGTTGTCATGGGTGTCCCAAGATAGTATTTTTTACAGTTAATTATTTATTGGTAACTTACATATAATTACAAAGAAATGGGTGAATTTTTTTCCAGAGCTCTTTTTGCCCTGTGGCTGTTGACCAGTCCTCCACCTAGTATTATAACAATAAACTACATGTTAGATCTCAAACAGCTGTGTTTACTTAGTTACTTCAATGTTTACTAGATAATGATATTACTTATTTCCAGTGTTTGATGTGCATGGTTCTGACTGACAGCCAGTCAGCTCTGCCTCTGATCCCAGTTATCACATAGCAATGATATATGCATTGAACCTTGGGCAACCATGTTCAAACTAGGTTCAAATGTACCGCATGAGTAGAGATGTCCCTATTATCAACAGAGGGCCACTAGGGTTTAGTATTGCTGCTGCAATCCAAATTATGCCCAGCAACTCCTGCAATGGGAGGTGTTAACCAATGAGGGGCATGAGGTGGAGCAAGTTCCAGAATGAACAAAACAAAGCACAGCATGTTCAGAAATGGGGCAAATGAGGTACAGTTGCTTCTGCAACAAGGCAAATGGGGTGCAGTGTCTTGTTAAAGAGACCTTTTGACCCTGAGTGCTTCCAGTGTTTTCTCATAAAACATATCTTGGTGCATTGCATCTTCTCAGTTGTTTACCTCTTTTCTCCTCCCAGCATTCTTCATGCCTTGCAGCCTTGTCCACAGTCACCCATGTAGCTCATTAACATACAGATATTTTTGTCAAGTGGACTAATAGAATTACAATGCTCCACAACAAGGCCCAGGGCTTCCCCTCAAACACTTATAGCTATGGGATATGTAAAATTGCTAGTTTGTCCTCATCACTGCCATGGCCACACTTTTGAGGGGGCAAACTAGAAAAAACCATGGAGTTTATTTGCAGTAAAATCATGTTAGTTGCCTTCAACAACCTGCTTCACAATACAACAACTGCAAAGCTGAATGCTCAACACTTAATAAACCAGATATCCACATGTGTCATGCTAAAAACCTTGATCTAGGTTTGGAGATTGCACAAGTGGTTTATTTCCATGAACATACCTTCTGAGATAACAGCCTTTATACTTAACAAGCTGCAAAAACTTATGCATGAAGAGGAATACAGCTCAGGTTCAATTTCATGCTCAATACTGGGTAAGTTTGTTTAACTGGCTGTATCTTACAAATGGTTTAAAATAGTCTCCTGAAAAGCACAAGTCCACTGGAGGCAGATAAAGACATTATATTCAAGCATCTAAACAAACATGACCCAATAGATCTAATGTTTTTTTTACCCCTTTTTATGCTTTACATTTTTCTCCCAAGCATGGTCATGCATTTGCCCAAAGCAGTGATTATGCTAGCACGGCTTTCCAATATCACTTGCAGCCCCCACACACTTCATTGCCATACAACAGTGTCTCAGACTTCTTCAGCCCTAAACTCCCCCAGCTTCAACAACTTCCTGCTAGCTCACCCATTACTAATTTTTCTCCAGTATGGGCCAAACCATGGTGATAAATAATATGCTTATAGCCATGAAAAGGACCTCACCCAACATCAACTATAATTCTGAATTTGACCTGTCTACAGTTGCCCCCACAGCCCCCCTCAGAGCTCCTTCCACCTTTTGGCCAGTCATTCATCCGCCCAAACCCCCCTTGAGATCAATCAAGCTTTTACATGTCCTTGATTCCACTTTGTGCCAATACTGTTTTATGAGATACTCTAGCTGACTTGGGCTGGTTTGAAACAAAAATCTCAGAAGCAGAATATGCTACAATTAAGCAATATGAAGGTTAACATGTGCACATATATGTGGATGGAGAGCAGAAAGATTTTGAGTGATCAGAGGGAGTGTATGAAATCCTTGTGTCCATCAATGAATGGGTAATATCTGTTATGTTGTTTTATCAATATATGGTACTCATATATATCTAAAATGTACCAACAGCTGTGGATTAGCCTCAAGCTCTGAGATCCAGTGCAAGAGTAAAAACATTGCAGCCTATAAAATCACCACAATCAGCTGAAAGGCTTTTAAAAGTGTAATGCTAGCAGAACCTGATGCACATTGTCCAGAGAGTGAGATTATCTGGAAACAGGACTGCATAATTGGTGGCATTGACTTTACAGAAGAATACTTGTTCATTACTCTTGCTCTACACTCTAGCCCAGACCACTAACTTACTTCAAAGAACAGTGACTCAAGATATGGCTTTGATGAAACAGAACAGGAGGTTTTCCAAGATTGTTTCAATGCTTTCAACAAGTATATTGTGATCTGCCTGCCCCACAACAGGTTAAGACAGCTGATAACAAGCTAGGTACTTGCAGCTGTCTGGACCAAATTGCACATGCCAGGGGTTGGCTACACTCACACACTGAAGCCCTGCACCTCAATCAGCATAATGTATGCATTCCGCTGGAATGTGCTCTGAAGTGGAACAGAAGAAACTGTGGAGACCATGTTATTCTACCATGGAAGAGTGTTGTTGGCACTTCAAAAGCTCACAAAACTCAGTAGGCTATCTTTATCAACAAGCAGAAAAAACAGAATTTACTTGGTTAGACCTACAATAAATGTCTGTAATGGTTTTTCAGCAATATATCAAGTGCAAGAAAAAAACATTGCCTCTGAAATATATGTGAGGTGATGCTGACAGTGCAGCAGTAGTGGAAAGAATATGTATTGCTATGACAGCCCTTTCCTATTTTCTGGGTGTTCTCACCTTAACCTGCTTTCAAGTCTGCAGTTTTGGGTTACATGCTCTATGACAGGAGAAAGGGAATCAACACATGGAGGGTGAATTGAGGGAGATGAGAGTGTTGAGGGTATGAATGTAAACAGTGAAGATGAGGATATGATAGACCTGAATGGAGAGGATAAAAGAGATGTATAGGTTGTGTCTAAGATGCTGGTGATAGTATGTGGCTCAAGGCTTCAAGATCTATGTGCATGCAGATATCAACCCCACCGTATGCCACCACCTTTTGTCCACTATAGTTTGTGTGCATACTCATTTCCGAACCTCAGATTTTTGAGTGTTTGCTAGGGTGCATCAGTGGTCTGGCTTGACTTCTTGTCTTGGAGTTTTTATGAGATAAGAAGGTCCACAACAAGTTCATGTTCAAGCAACAGATGCTCCAAGGACACCCATTTCCTGGACCTATTGCAGGCAGGGATGCAGGAAGCATTTGAAAGGGATCTGAAGTCTGAGCATTTGTTTTGGCTTGGATGCTAATGACTATGATGTGTCTACATTGCACATTCTCTATGGTTCCAGATGGAATGCTCAGCAAATTGAAAACCTTGTCTACATCATGGTTATCAAGATGAACTTCAACTTGCTTTTTTATTGCTGAAGCTTGGATGTGATCTGATAGTTCAAGGATTCAGCCATTTGGAACTCTAAAAATAAAAAATGCAAGTTGCATCATCATCCTGCTTCTTTTGGTACTACTACAGAAGGTCTTGAAGACTGTTGTGGAGCTATAATCTCATCAGTTTTGTGTTATCTCACATCCATATACCATCAGGCATGTCCCAGGTGGGAGACTATGAGGAGTGTGTGCTGCTTGACAAAGAAGACAAAGTCTACATTCATGGTTGTGTCACATAAGTTATGCCAACTATTGAAGAATAATACGATAAAAAAAGGACCAGTTTTATGCAAGAGAACCTCAGATGTCAAAGCATCACCAGTAGCCTCTGCCCAATTAACAATGGTAAATGGAGTGAGCTAGCATACATTGCTGACTTGACAAAGTTCTTCCATGCTGTTGCTCACAACAAGACTGAGGTCATTGCACAAATTATTGCAGACAGCATGGGTGTTAACTACCAAGACCACACTGGACATATGGTATTGCACCTTGCAGTCTTTGTGGTGCGGTGGACACTGTTCTGTAGATCATCAAGGCTGGAGGATGTGTGTCTGCTAGACTAGCAGATGAACAATTGTACCTGCATGTAGCTGCTGCTGGAAACCATGCAAAGATTATTGAGAAGATGATGGAAAGGAGTAAACTTAATAAAAAGGCAGCAAAGAAAGTTGAAGAGGAGAGGAAAGCAGCTGAGAAGAATACAACTGGGCCTGGTGGTGAACAAGAGGATAGCCTGAAAGAGGATGATGAAGGCCAAGGCAAAGATGAAGACAAGGACTGAGATGAGGTGGATTTGAATGGTTCAGATACCAAGTCAAAGAAGGGCAAGGATGGTGAGCCTGACATTATGGCTGATGCTATAGATTTTGATGCCATACCCAAGGATGAGTTGAGTCTCCCTGATGTGCTGGATATTAAAGCACCTGACTGGGACATTGTGGCTACTCCGGTCAGCTACACTGTCATGTCAGGCAATGTTGATGCTGTAAAGATGCTTATTTGATTTGGAGTGGATGTTAAAACAGCCAAGAAGGGAACAACATCAGGGATCAGACTTGTTTGCCACTGAGTCTCACTTGCTTTGTCAATGACTCTGCTATTGCCTGTGGCATTGCAGAAATCCTCCTGGACGCAGGCTCTTTGTCCATAGCAATCAACAAGTAGGACAAGTTGCTCATGGTGTTCCATGAGCATTTGCACTTGGGCAAAATCAAGCACATCTGGACATATCTCAAGTACAATCCTAATGCAAAGAAGGCACTCAAGTTTTTGTTCAAGTCTAACTTCCATGAGGTGATGAGCCCCCCTTGTAAGTGCCATCAAAAAAGGCCAGTATGACCTTGTCTTCCTGCTGCTCATGTGGGGTGCCAAATATGAGTTGCAAAACAACAATGTGGCCCATGCCAAGGCAATCACTGCAAAAACTCATAGTTGGTCATGTTACCAATCAGATGAGATCACCTATCAGCTCCAACCAGAGCGTGAAAACATCGAATTACTCCAATTCTATTCCATTTGAAAGAGATGACCGGCTCGTTCCGAGGTGATGTCATACTTGATATGTTCACATTGCAAGTAGGCCAACATTAGGTGGTATACTATGTGCAGCGGATTATGAATAGAACCAATTTTTGGTATGTTCAGGACATGAATAGGTTGGCATTAGATGATATGCTACGCGCAGTCGAGGAGGAATAGAATATCACGCTCAGAAGAGGCACTGGTGTCCAACAGTGAGCAAGTAGTATTGATAAAGACGAAATACAAGGGTACTGACCTGGTGTCCAACAGTGAGCAAGTAAGGAGACGCTCTGTGGACACCAGGGTTATATAGGTGAAAAGAAATAAGGTTTGGGAACTGTACAGTAGCTCGGAGTTCTCCATAGTAAGCCAAAGAGTAGAGAAAGGCGAAATAGGGGCAAAGTCGCGAGATACTGGAATAGGAAGGTGGTGAAGGTATAAACAAGAGACAAGCAGAAGTATACCTCAACACACAATAGCTGAGTGGTTGCAGCGCTCTGGGCACTACCACAAGGCTCTAGGTTCAACTCACACAACTGGCAAGTTTACCTCTTTTACCCAAGTGTCCTGGAATGCTGGAAAGCGTACCAAGGCCACTGGGCTGCTGTGCCAAGGGCATAGGAGCGATGCAGAGGTGCTGGGCNCGACTCTGACAC